GATTTTCAGTGAGACGTCAACTCAATAGTGAGAAACTATTGCACAGAGATTTGTCGAAAGGCAAGGAATACTATCAAATACAAGTGGTTAATGGGGTCGACAACGAGCCCTATCCCATCGATTTCATGTACGTCACCGACAATTGCGAGGCCTCGCAGATCAACATCGATCGCACCATCACTTCCCTTCAGGTGCTCTCAATATTTTCATTCATAATATATATTTTATATGATTTCTATGGCTTCAAGCCTTTCACATACGAGTATACGGTATATGAGAAAAGGACTTTTAAAACCACTAAAAGCTTTTAAAAACTAAAATTATATGAATATCTAAATGTTTTAGGATTTTGTTAACAAAACCGGAAAGTTAACAGAACTAGGGGTGTATAGAACCAGTGTAAGCACTGTAAATACCTTTTGCCTATAAAATTGGAAACATTTTATTAAGCTTTTAATAGTAAACCAATGCATGAAATCAACTTTTGGTTTTGCAAAAAGTTGAAACGATTTTATCATTATTTGTATCCACATATAAATTGTTAGAATTTGTAACAAATGTTTGCTTTTTATGAAACACCCGACCCTTACTAACAGAGCTGTCAGTGCGAGGATGACTGCACGTCTCAGAAGTGTGTTTGCGGCGCCATATCCTTCAGGTGCTGGTACGACAAAGAGGGCAAACTGTTGCCTGAATTCAATCTGATGGACGCGCCCATGATTTTTGAGTGCAACCGCGCCTGTAGTTGTTGGAAGACATGCAATAACCGTGTGGTTCAGTACGGCGTCCGGTAATCCATTGTAACCACTCTTATGTCTAATTTACTTATTTGGCAACAAATTTGAAATTTTAGATCCCGTTTACAAGTCTTCAGAACTAATGGGAAGGGATGGGGTGTACGTGCGCTCCGGGATATACCCAAAGGAACATTTGTTTGTGAATATGTCGGCGAAATTATCAGTGATTCCGAAGCGGATAGACGTGAAGACGACTCTTATTTGTTTGATTTGGATAATAAGGTTTGTCTCCACTTATACTCTCCTATAATACAGTATTGATAGCCATTTGTTTGCATATAGGATGGGGAGACCTATTGTCTGGACGCACGCTTTTATGGCAATATTTGTCGCTTTATCAACCATTTATGTAACCCTAACCTCACTCCAGTCAAGGTGTTTGTCGACCATCAGGACCTCTCGTTCCCCAGAATTGCATTATTCAGTTCGCGAGACATTAGAGCCTACGAGGAGTTGGGGTCAGCCTTTCAATTGAATTGAATATTGTTTGCATATTTGAATGCATTATACCTATGCTTGTACTCCATGTCCTATAGTTTCGATTACGGCGAGAAGTTTTGGGTCATTAAATACAAGACATTCACCTGTAGTTGTGGTGCACACGACTGCAAGTATAACAAGGAGTCCATTCACACCACTATTGAGAACTATTATAAGAGACTTCGCGACGAACAGCTCTCCATATCGAGCCCTATCGACCCCCTCTATAATGAATGAATGATTGAATGGACACTCTTTACCAAAAGCACAACCATTTCACCTATAAATCCATCACTTTTTCAATCAAACAATAACTTAATATATCATGTATTCAATTAATTTTGATTTTATCTAATTCTATATATAAATCTTAGTTTCATTTCATTGGATCCTTGTTTTACTTTAAGTTCTATATTATATTATATTACTATTTTCATTATTATTTATAATTTAAATTTATTTTCCACTCAAATCGAGACTTTATTTTGAATGAATTTCTTGACCTCTTATAAGACAATTATTTAGTAATTTATTTAATTCTTTTGATAACTTAATAAAATAATATTTTAACAATGAATTGTAGTACTGTATTTAATTTCTCTTGAAATGGCATTTAAGTTAAAGTAAGTGAAAGAGTGAAAGTGTACAATGTACATTTATGGCATACTGTATCTCAAATCATAAGTATCGGTATACAAGACATGAGACAAACTTTGTTTTGCCGATAGTTATGCCATAGTTTGAGATAGGCTCGTACCAATGCTTTTGTTGCCTTATTGGACAGGTGCCCTGGACAGAGCCCGCATATTCTTATTAAACTTATGAATTAATTAATTACTTATACTGTGAATTGATTACCGTATGCATTGTAAGTAACATTTAAAAATATTTTCTATTACGGTAATGTTGTAGAATTAATGGATTACTTTATGATCATTAAAATTATGATATTTTATAATAGAAGATAAATAATTTGTTACAAGAATAAGTATTTTCATAATTTGTCTTTTATTAAAATATTAAAATTATTTTATACTGTAAATTTCTAAACTTTATTCAAGTTATCTGTGTGATTCGATGAATGTAGTTACTAAGATACGAATGAATAGAGTAAAATACTTACGTTTATATGAATAGTATTTTAAGTTTAATTTCTGATTGAGACCTAATAAAAGCGATTCTATTAAATCTCGGTCCATATATAGGGTACACAATGAACAGCATAAGTGTTTTATATAACCTTTTGTCTATTTAGGACTTGTTATACAACTTGAGTTGAGTAATAGTTAGGAACCATGTATTAGGCTGTCCAAATTCCTAAAACAAATCCAACAATAAAAGAAAATAAAAGTATTTTATTGTTTGTTTGCTTTCTTTCGGAATTACATTAAACTTATACTCCTGTTTAGTACAGTACTGTACAGTCACTGGACTTAGTATATGGTATGAGTGTTGTATTTGTTTGGATTCTCAATTCCAACCAATTCTTTAAATCAATAGATGTGAACAGTTATCATCCATTTTAATTAAGATGTCAATTGCTATTTATAATTTACTTACATTTCTATACTTTTACCATTTAAACACCTTTAAATATAATATCTTGAACAATTTCCAAATATATTACAATTATTTATAAAATAATATATGGTCCATAGACTATGGGAGAAATACGAGAGAGACTTTTAAAGTGTGCTTGTATATTTGGTATAAAATCAAAGTTTAAAGTAATAAGAATTGATATGCTTTATAGAGCTAAGTATAAAGCTTACTTAACTTATAAAATAACTTTTAAACATTTAATAATAGTAAAATATCAATATAATAATAATATTATTATTTAAGGTTGAAGATTTCAGTTAAATTTATTTTTCGTGAAAGATTTCAGTGAAATATTTAACTTTTTAATGTTTATTTTTTGATGTTAGAATCGATTTAGTGGTTTAGATCAAAGTTGAACAAATAGCAGAAAAGTTGGTTTGAAAATATAAGAAAACTGTAAGAAATTCTTGTATTTTTAAACATGAATAACTTTTAAACTATTGATGTTACAATTTTTTTGTATATAATATTTATGTATTATTTAATAAGCTTATTTTATTTTGTTAATTTCGCCAAATGTGACAGGTTTATACAAAATAATGACAATCGAAGTGACTGTTAACATATGATGAATCTTTTTTAGTGTATGAATCCTATGACTATCGATATCGATATCTTCGACTAACAGTCATTCGATTGTCTTTATTTGGTATAAACCTGTCACAAATTATATTGACAATTTGTGAACTATGGACATTACCTTTCAAATACCATTCTGCAATCTAATTTTAATAGAGTAAATAAACGATTAGTGTGTTATAAAGTAACTTTCAAGTATAAACCTGTAAATATTAGTGATATAAAAAAGTTTGACACATTGAACTGTCAAATATTATAAGTTCCAAATGCAAGGGTTTATAGCATAAACTTTATACTATGAACTTCATATGTTAGATAAGGATTATTTTTGGTTAGAGAAATAATATTTAAATATATATATATATATATATATGAAAGCTACATTATACGTTATAATTTACATTAATCAAATTACATTAATCACTTAATTACCCTATTAAAATTTAAGATATTGTTCTCTTCTAACAAAGGTTTGAGTGTACTGGCTCTAAGATTAAACTAGCACATGCTATTATATGCTGAATATCATGACTAGAATACGATTTTAACTTGTGTAAGATTTTGCTTTCACACTAAATCATTATTTAAAAAATCTTATTCGTATTCTAAGCAATAATATATCAATAACATTTTATATAATCTCTTCTTTATTATTTAGACAGTCTTAAGATTTATATATTTTGTATTTCATAACATTTTATTATAGCTGATATGGAAACCTTTAATATGCTTTTGTATAAACTTTTTCAATAAGCATCAAACATATTAAAAAAGTTATACCAGTAAACTATAATAATAGCTTAGCTTTCAATTGATTCTTTGTGTTTACTTTTTGCTACTTTTATAACAAAATATTATGAGTCTATGAGTCCACGTGAATGAAGAAGAGTCTTATCTTAGAGCCAATCCATGAGACGGACAATACATTTCAAATGACACCATAGACTATAATATACTAAAATATACTGCATATACAATGCCTTTTTACTGTATATATTTTTAAATATGTCCACAATATACTGTACTTAAATATTAATATTAATAAATTCATTTTTAATGTAAAGTTAGTATAAGTTAGTTTGAACTGGCCATTTTAATAGCATTTATATTGTGATAAAGCTATGATATTATCTGGTTTAACAAAGCAAATTCAATATTTCGGTTTATTTGTCAATTCAAAGATTTTGTATTTTATTTACTAATAAACTATGCATATGAAAGACGATTTATTAAAAAGGGTACAATGAAAATTAATTAAGTCCTTAGTAATTAAAAGCAAAAGCTTTTCAATCGTAGTTTAGTCATTCAAAGTAATGTGTGAGCAAGATAAGATATTAAACTCTGTATACCTTAGATTTGATTTTAAAGTT